CCCCCCCCTTATAAAACAGTAATTACGGATTGGTGTGTTGTTTTTATCTCTGTGTATATATGGTATCAATACTCGCTGCAATATAAAACTTATAAAACAGTAATTACGGATTGTTGGGTTGTTTTTGTAGAAACTACATGGAAACTTGTGGTAAGGATACTAAAGTGAACAAAAGCTAACGATTCAAATGATGTTCTGTTATTAAAATCACATTATACCTGTTTGGAGGCGAGGAAATCCATTCCCTTAGCTATGTCACAGGTCATACGATACAGGGTATCTACGACACTGTCGGTCACATTCGTTCGGTGATTCTGCAGCCACGTCCTCATTACACCTGTCTCACACAACTCCAACAGCATGAAAGGACCCACTGAGCAAAAGAGTGTCCCAGCTTAGTATGTATGCGTTTTGATGTGCACAGATAAAATTGTTTAACCCAAACATAACGGTATTTCAACCGAGGTCCTGCTATTCGTTAACTTCCGCAGTACAATGTAATTCTCGTATTATGATATGTGATCAAAGACATGAAAACAAAAAGACACTGGAAGCAGAAAATATTAAATAATGTTTGTATTTATTTATAGCAATTATCATCTTCAATACGTCGTCTCTATCTACCGAAAGTCGAGTGCAATCATCACCGTAAATGACCCTGGTCTAACTCAATTTGTACGATGTAATGTGCATACGTAAATAAACAACAACAAAACAGAAAAGCACCTAGACATCAACAACTATTTGAAAGCAAAGCGGTGATTGAAAGTTGTCTGTCAGCATTCTGTACAGGTGGAACTGTTCGCGTTGTCTCTCTTTAAACTGTTGGCGGTGTGAAGCTTAAAACTGTTGGCGGTCTCTGATTTAACTTGCTGGCGGTGTGGTGATTGGATCTGTTGGCGGTGTGGGGATTTAAGCTGCTGGTGGTGTTGGACTCAAATTTGTTGACGGTATCTGATTTAAACTGTTGGCGGTGTGGGGATTTACACTGTTTGCGATGTGGGGATTAAAACTGCTGGCGGTGTGGGGATTTAAACTGTTGGCGGGGTGAAGATTGAAACTGTTGGCAGTGTGGGGATTTAAACTGTTGGCTGTGTGGGGATTTGAAATGCTGGCGGGTTGAGGATTGAAACTGTTGGCGGTCTGGGGATTAAAACTATTGGCGGTGTGGGACTGTAAACTGTTGTTGGTGTGGGACTGTAAACTGTTGGCGGTCTGGGGATTAAAAATATTGGCGGTGTGGGACTGTAAACTGTTGTTGGTGTGGGACTGTAAACTGTTGGCGGTGTGGGACTGTAAACTGTTGTTGGTCTGGGGATTTAAACTGTTGGCGGTGTGGGACTGTAAACTGTTGGCGGTGATGGACTGTAAACTGTTGGCGGTGTGGGACTGTAAACTGTTGGCGTTGTGGGACTGTAAACAGTTGGCGGTGTTGGACTGTACATTGTTGGCGGTGTGGGACTGTAAACAGTTGGCGGTTTGGGACTGTAAACTGTTGGCGGTGTGGGACTGTAAACTGTTGGCGGTGTGGGACTGTAAACTGTTGGCGGTGTGGAACTGTACACTGTTGGTAATGGATCTAAAATCGATACATTCTACAAAAAGCCGTATGTACAATGTAACCGCGTAGAATGAACAGATTGATTGATTCTGACCCTTGCAATTGTCATTATGAATGCCAACTAGAAATGTCGCTTTCCAGGAATGGCAACTGTAAGCACTTTAGGATAACTAATTATCAATAATTTTAATCTAATAAAGCAAAGTTTATCCAGAAAGAAACAATAGGTCAAATATAGGTATTTAGCCTGTATGTTGTTTATCAATGGAACGGCAACATTCCAAAGATGGCTAGTGGAGTCCCACGTTACAATAATTACGTCACAATAATAACGACGTCCACAATGGTATTCATAGTTGTTATGACTGCTATCTTAATTGTATGAAGATATAAAGTGGCAATGCTATACGATAGTAGATATGATCATATAAACATGTACATGTACTATACCACCAGTTCGTATGAAGATATTCAAACTCACGTATCTGTATGTAGAATTGATTTTACAAGAACTTACGTGGTTTGTTGTCAAGGATAGCCCCAACGAATTGAATAACGTTGGTATGGGAACCAACCTTTGTAGCGAAGAAGTGTATCTTAGCATTCATAACCAATTCGTCTATTTCGGTATGTGACTCTGGAACATAAAATGATAATCAATATACATCTAAAAAACAATCACCGAAGTATTATTAAAAATTATAAAAAAGTGCAGTTATGTAAGATATTATTCTTTTAGTATATTATATTGTATGTTCTGCTTTAATAATGTCTCTGCTACAGTGCTATTTCAGTACAGGTACATGTACTTCTTCCAGTTAAACATTTTTATCTGGGCCGTAACTTAAAAACCGTTTAAGATATCTTGATGAAACTTGCAATATACCTGGACCAGCAACTGCAAATATGCACTGTTTTGTCAATAGGTCACTGCGGCCTTGACCTCAACGTCAAAGGTCATGTTACTGCATATTTCTGTTAAGATACATCTAGTCCGAGCCGTTACTTTTAAACCGTTGAGATATCTTGATGAATCTTTTAGTACATAAACATCACCCACAGACAATGTGCAGTGCCGTTCACTGCCATACGGCCACTCTGTCCTTCAACTAAACGTCAAAGGTAAAATATATGCAAACGTTTCAGGAACATCTAGGCCGTAACTTATAAACCGTTAAATATACCAAGAAGAAACTTCCCATATACCCGCGTCACTAACAAACGACGTGCTAACAAGGGGAATCATGTGCTTTTGTTCACAAAAGCAAATCTGTAGTTTTAAATGAAGGCCTACTATGTTAGGGTGCAGGGCTCAGGACTTCCATTTAAGGTATGTCCTTACGTATGAAATGAGGACGTGGTGCCTTTTAACATAATTTGCTAAATAATGACACATTGACAATTTCCGTTTCTTTATTAAGGGCTTCCCACCCTTCGTAATACATATGTTTTTCTTGTCGTATTTTCGTGTCGTCATTTCCGTATTGCGTATCGGGCATTCCATTACCGTAGTGTAAATTATAGTAACACCGGGTAAACAATAGTAAACGTGCGTGACGATGATCTTTCAATACCCGATATCGAGACTTAATTTGGAAATGTGTTATCACACGTACTTCAGAAATAAAGCTTATGATACAAAGACATTAATTAACTCACGGGAAAACACTGACAGACGATCAGACGACTTCAAGAAGGTCGTATATGAGGCGCATGGAATGCAGACTGATGTGTTTTGTTTACCGACCTCACCTGCACGTATCACGTGCTAACAGTAGTTCACAAGCTCTTGGTCGCTAACTAGTTGTCGAGCGAGTTACGCTCTGTCAGATAAATCGGTTCACAAATGCAATTATAATAACTCTGTGTAAAAAGTGGTTTGTAAAATATCAAGATCCCTATAAAATGCAAGTGCATGTGCGTGCACGTAATAACGGCATATCATGCGATAGCCTATGGTTACATATGTACCTGACATGTTAATATACCATGCGTAAGCGGGCTATGGAATGATGTCCAAAGTGTACATGATTGAGAGTAATTTTGTTCCATAAAAGAACAGTAAATTGACAATTAAATATTGTAATTTAATTTATTTCCGTCGTTTTTGGTATAGTAAAGAAAGTGTCATTGTATAAATTCTATCCCTCTGCAAAAAAATCCATTTGTTTTCAAGTAAGACAACTCTCATGAGAATCAAAATTATTGCAAAATCTAAAATAAATGAATTATAAAGACTTTGTGTGTATTTGGTTCAATTTTTCACTCTTTTTGTATGAAACCATGTGTCCTGTTTGCTTTTAGCTTGTATTTAGTTAACTGTTATCCATACAATTTCAATAAAAAACGCTTTTTGTAACATGTTGTAGATAATCTATGATAAATAAAATATTTGTAGGGTTGATTAGAAATGGTCTTTTCATTATTTTATTGTTGTAACAGTTTTGAGCAATGTCACACGCTCAAAAAATGTGAAAGTGTTGAATTTGACAAAAAATCAATTTTTGGTATTTTTTACGAAAAATTCCCCAGTTTATCGGAATGCTTAGATTTTCATAAAATCATCTCTACATAGTTACATAACCATTGAATTTTGCTGGCTAATTGTGAAAGGGTGGAGCCTCCTTAAGAGAACAGTGGCTTCATGTCAAAAGTATCTTGTTGCATGTGTGACTTTTAAACGCTTCACCTTTATTGAACAAACTTTCATACCGGACGATAATTGACAAATTCCATCCTGTTTAGATCTTCACACAAGATGAAGTTGCCCACTGACGATTCATGCTTACCCTTTAACACTTTGGCGACGACGATCTTTCTGTTGTTCCTTTTGCAGTTTTGTGAAGCTTTGAAAACGTCAGCAAACCGTCCAGAAATCATCTTTTCAACTAGAGACACTTCAGCGTGGTGAACCTCCCACGACTGGTTCTCATTAAACACCATTTGACCATACATATACACATCCTCATCACCGACATCCGAATAGGCCAGGTTCTAGTGGAAGCCAACATGCATGTTTTGATTATTTTGGAACTATCCTCAATATTTGAGATGAATAAAGAAAGTCATTACTGAACTATTGTTCAAACTTTGTGTTGACCCTGTGTGATTGGACCACCTAATGGCTGTGCTGTAAAAAGCACCATGTTTAGACAATATCCTTGTACGTTATTCTGTATAAATTAATTAAGGTTAGGATAATTAATGCATGTTGGGTTTTTTTTGTCAAATATCTCAAACTTACATCTATAAATCGGATAGGTAAACACACATGATACAGGAAATAAAAGACTTAGAAAGAAGAGTTCGTGATAGCGTTACAATAGCTTTACAACTATTGTTTGTATTTTAACATATACGACGATAAATAAAACTTCATGTATCTTATAACACGTTATACACAGTCACACTTTATCACCAAATATATGAAAGCTATAAACACCTAAAAAATGTATACGTAATCAAACCTAATTTATAAGCGAAAAAACGTATTATATCAAAGTCTTATAATAACACTTTGTAGAACATTATCATTCAGGATTTTATTTACCGCAAATGACTTTCGTTCCTGATGCTTGTTGACCTCTCTCGAGTTGTTGTAGGTGTTAGATCGCCGACGACTGGTTATCCGCCGCTGTATTTGACCGTAGATTGACTCTTTGTAGCGATTGAGCTTGCCTGTCCTCCATAGCACTATACCAGCTATTAGTAAGCCCACAAGGATCAGCATAACTGTGGAAATCATTGTAGAATAATTGTTTAATAATAGCACACAGGACAAAAGGTTTAATGATAACACACAGGACAAAAGACTTCGATGCTATATAAACAGGTAATAGTAGGGAATCATCACCGATCCTTGTCGTATACTTCTTTCACTTTCTTTTTTATCACAAACGTTTTCGACTATACATGTATCAATGTTTTCATAATTAATCGCTGATGATATTTTTTAATAAGTACATACATGGCCCAGTTCCTTATATTTTATATTTACCGTTCCTGTCGTAGTTACATACCTATAGTGATTGCTGCTATAACGCCCGCTGATAAACCTTCATATTCTCCTAGAAATAAAAGACAAAATATCTATAAATGCTAATATTGTATTAAAATACATGTACTCAAATCGTTATCTTAAAAAAGGCCATCACGAGACAATCATTGTGTTAGCTACTATTTCCTGGAGAGGTTTATATCTACCTGTCGTGAAAGTAATTTTTACGGGGTCACTTTTTTCATCGCCGTACTCAACGACAAACTGTGCGGTGTACGTAGTCTCCGGATCCAGGTTACCCAGCGTGTAGTATTCCGAGTCCTTGTGTACGTGCATCGTCCGTGACTGTCCAGACACGTTATACATCAGTAGTATGTCTGTTCGGTCGTAGCAGCTCGGTCCCTGGTGCCACTGGAAGTTCGCACTGCTGGATGTTTTTCCGGAAATCACAAGGTCCATCGGTCCGTAATCTGAATATATACATATCAAATATATCATTTCTGTACAGTAGTGTCTAGCGACCATATCTTCATATTCCTTTCTTGCATTGATCATAGAATTAATATCAATTTTATTTTGACATACAGTGGATATCTACAGAAAAAATATCCAAGTGGGCACGCCATTCATTATACTTTAAGGCAATGAATAAAATCAAACACGAGTATGTGAAGATCATTTAGGGAATATCGTCTATATCCTTTACTCTGCGGACAAATCTTATTGCTAAGACCTTCGCTAATTGACACAGAACGGAGGAAAACACATAATTCTGAAAGTTTAACTACGTCATAGGTATGTTGATATAAACAAATTTGAGCATTAGTACAATTTGAGATCTTAAACATTAATTGTGAAATTTTTCCATCTAATATTAACCACATATGTTGGCCGGGTAGTGTGAGCATAAAGGATCATGCGGTGGGAGTAACCGTAGTACCGGATGAAACCCACGTGGTTTGGCATGTGACCCACTACCTTTTCACGTATGATCGGGAATCAAGTATAGACGTCTTGGTAAAAGGCGTGAACTCTATCCATTGAACCACATAAGGAGTATTCAGTGCCACAATGCGACTGTTACACTGATTACACACTATTAAGACAGGTAGCAAGAATTTTGGATAATGGCTTGGTTTATCAAGAAGAAAAAACGCGCTAAACGTTGTCAGTAAAAGGATTCCTTTTACATTTTAAGATCCAATACAAACGAGGCAAGTTAATGTCATTAACACCAATCAGTGTTAAAAACGTTTGTAATATATGAGGAATGACTACATTGTGGAAAATATTTATGTATAGTTTCTTTCGTTATCAGGTAAAAAAAAAAAAATCTATAAGCAGAGCTGAAAATGTAAATGTTTCAAGACCAAGAATAAGTTATAAGATATGTAGACAACTGGGTTGAGCGGGTGCTGCTTTCATCAGATGTCTTGATGTCCATTTAATTGATAGCGTCCCCTGTAAAATCGGTAACTCGTGATTTATTTGCACCTCCCACTATGTTAACAGACCTACACGGTACGTGCTATACCATAGCTTTTATCTTTTCTAATACAGTATGTACATTCTCTAATCAGTCAACAATACTCACACTCCTCTATACCATCAAACGAAGGCAAATGGTTAATCTGAAAAAGAAGTAATAAATAGTTCTGTTAGATAGATATTATCGTCATTTGTGTGTGAGAGTGACGTTACATCCCTCGAGTACAACATTTAAATACAATTTATCACACTGTTGCATTGTATTTTCATGAGAGATGTTTAAAATCGCTTTGGGAATTCATAGCGTTATTTGACAGGCAAACCGCAGACTGGATGCATTACGAAATTGGTTTTAAATGCAAGTAAAATGCCTCCACACTAGCGTGTGTTAATCTCAAATGACGAGGGACTTAACGTACTCCACGCTTTATATCTGTGCAGTATGCATTATATCTAAGGAATATTTTATCTGAATCTTCCGCAACAATAACAACTGTTTCACGTATCTTCACAGCATTCGATCACTTGTGACGGCGTAATTTAAACACATACACAAATATCGAAAACAAAAGAGTTACTCTCCTTTGAATGGTAAGTTTTGCATTTATTTGCCACCTCAATGCGTTCAGAAAGCTTCATATTTGTTACTGCATACGTGAACACTCTGCTGTAGATCTTTTTAAAGATTTATCTTGTTGAAAGATATTAGCTTAACATTTGTAGTTGAAGTGCTGATTCGGTAGCATGGTAAGTGTGTACGTAAAATCATCTCCTAATTAATGATAGGCATAGATAGATAAGGTAGAGTGATCGTCGTTATACTGATCAAGGAATGCTGACATTAAACAATAATGTTTCCCGTTTTGACTTTAATATTGAAGGACTAGCAAAGGCTGTAGTTTTAGTTAACTTGACATGGACGAGAGAGGCAGCTAAATATTTCTTCCTTTACCACAAACGATTTCATTGTTCCCGACTCATTGAATAAACCTGCCAGGAGTTGCTAAACAATGGTTAGTTGGTAACACACTGGATGTTATTTCATTCGTCAATCCTCTAATTATTACGTCAAGAAAAAATGCGTTGCATAGTCATCTTTCATTGGGACCTCACAGTTCATGACAATAGTTTCCCCGTTCAGAAACAGGAGTAGTATATGCCCACGAGACACATGTTTTTGTTATAACTGTTCAATATCTGAACGGTGTGGGAGAAAAATGATCCCTCATTTCGTAATGGTTAATGTTTTTCTACATATTTTGTAATAGACATTTGATAAACACCGTGCCTAATACAATTCGAAAATGATCTTATACGAGTTAGAAAAACATTATAACCAATTATCGCTCGTGGGGGAACCTCTTTTTCCAGGTTTTATTGTGACGCAAAAACCGACAGACGACATTGGCACGGGCAGTATGTATAGTAAGCATTATACAGGTTAATGGACAGACGAGGTAAGAAGATTCGTTATGTTAAGTTACCTGCAAACGAACGGATGAATAGAGCATTGCCAGGTTGAAAACGTCAATGTGAATATCAATGACTTGGGTCTCCAGCTTATCTTTGGGTACCATCAGCCAGCAGTTGTTTATCGCAAACTGGTGGAGGTAATAGAAACAGCCTCCTGCTGGACTGCATTCTCCCTCATGTTTAGATGGCGTTCCCTGTCGATGAACAGAAACAGGTAAAATAGAAACCTATGCTCGGGTGTTCACAAGTAAGACAAATTTCTTCAATGAGATTGTTTATCTTGCCAATAAATGTATATCGGTGGAATTGCCATTAACACTCAGATGTTCACAAGTAAGACAAAATATTTCCATTAGATGTTCATATTTTTTGAACATGTACTTTTACCAAAAACAAGCTTAAAACCATCTAAAATGTTACCACATTAAATGTTTAAATTTACTTTGTTTTTCATTTTTAGGCGGTTTATGACCATTGTATTGTTGATGTGTTAATGTCGTTGTGTGTAGGCTTTACTGAACGTTTGATGTCTGGAAACATACAGATAATATTTATGATCAAGGATAATGATATATATTTACATTTCCACCCAGAACCCTATATAAACAACTGGATCAGGGAAATGTTGATGCTTGCTCTTGTCGCGCACAAACCGAGAATATTGTAAGATACAAACATTCAATGACGTCATGCATTTTTTCCAGAAAGATATTCTGCATTGACGCTAAAGATACTTAAATATCACAAACATTAGTGAATAGTTTTATTTAGATCGCCACTATTTATGAATTTTAAATGTTAATATGGGTATATTTTTTCTATATCGCATCAATTAAGTGACCCCTGCAAAGACTTCCTTAACACCCCAGACGTTTGTTTAAACGATTCTTTCAAGTAAGTATTTGTGCATCAATATCATTCGATATCAGATATAAACAAAGGCCAAGATTCTAAATATTGCACTAGATTAACTATCCAAACTTTTGAGAATTTCTTGAAGGAGAAATATACAAATGCATACAAAATTATGTATTTCATTTCATTCGTAATGAGGGCGGTAAATTAAGTCAATTAGTTTATATTCAATCTTACTGACGTTAATAAATAAGTAAGTTATATACAGTATCGTTTAAAATATAGTTGATGACCTATTAAACTTACGTAATTAAGCATTGATAATTCAAATAAGTAAATCTTTCCTATTCAGATTTCTAAAATTGTATCGCCTATATCGATAATATTTAGTTTGATTTGCAATGTATTTGTGTTGGTGTATATTTCGCTTTAAAATACTGTTCTAATAGCGCATTGCACAAAACTAAACAAGACGTTTTAACTGCTAAATCGGCATTGTAATTATATCGTTGTTCTTGTTATTTGTTGTTCAATAATGATCCTGGTTACAAATGGTAACCTGATAGGCGACTTTACCTCTGTTATTGGCGGTTTAATAATGATCCTGGTTACAAATGGTAACCTGATAGGCAACTTTACCTCTGTTATTGGTGGTAAATAATGATCCTAGTTACAAATGGTTACCTGATAGGCAACTTTACCTGTGTTATTGGGGGTTTAATAGTGATCCTGGTTACAAATGGTAATCTGATAGGCGACTTTACCTCTGTTATTGGTGGATTAATAATGATCCTGGTTACAAATGGTAACCTGATAGGCGACTTTGCCTCTGTTATTGGTGGTTTAATAATGATCCTGGGTACAAATGGTAACCTGATAGGCAACTTTACCTCTGTTATTGGTGGTAAATAATGATCCTAGTTACAAATGGTTACCTGATAGGCAACTTTACCTGTGTTATTGGGGGTTTAATAGTGATCCTGGTTACAAATGGTAATCTGATAGGCGACTTTCCCTCTGTTATTGGTGGTTTAATAATGATCCTGGTTACAAATGGTAACCTGATAGGCAACTTTACCTCTGTTATTGGTGGTAAATAATGATCCTAGTTACAAATGGTTACCTGATAGGCAACTTTACCTGTGTTATTGGTGGTTTAATAGTGATCCTGGTTACAAATGGTAATCTGATAGGCGACTTTACCTCTGTTATTGGTGGATTAATAATGATCCTGGTTACAAATGGTAACCTGATAGGCAACTTTACCTTTGATATTGGTGGTTTAATAGTGATCCTGGTTACAAATGGTAACCTGATATGCGACTTTACCTCTGTTATTGGTGGTAAATAATGATCCTAGTTACAAATGGTTACCTGATAGGCAACTTTACCTGTGTTATTGGGGGTTTAATAGTGATCCTGGTTACAAATGGTAACCTGATAGGCAACTTTACCTTTGATATTTGTTGTTCAATAATGATCCTTGTTACAATTGTTAACATGATAGGCAACTTTACCTCTGTTCGGTTCCCTTGTGATTGTCCCTCATGAAAAATCTCTTCCGAATCGTTTGTCTTGATCTTCCATTTAAACATGGAAATCCCACTCTGCCGATCGTAAGTCAAGAATCGGACTCTGTAGAATCATCAATCATCAATAACGATAGAGACAATAAATCATATTCATTACATATTGACCAGTGATATACCAAAACAATATCAGTGTGATAAAAAGTTTACTGCATTAAGGATATAAAGACGGTTTATCTTTACATGTGAAGAAATAAGATGAGGTATCGATTTGAGATTGACCATTGAAAATGTTCGGCTGCAGATAAAGTGAAAGTAAAATAAGATATTTTTTTTCGTACATAAGATTAGTTATTACCACAACAACTCAATTGATAACGTTTTTGTTTGCAAAACGTATCAGATAATAGCAGAAAACCAAGAATAGCGTTGAGTAGCTTATTAAACAATGGCACAGGCTCTTGTTGTCAAGCTTGACGTCATTAGAACCCGGCGTCAAATAATACTTCTATTTGTATTACTTAAAAATGCAATCAATTCCAAGGGTTTTCCGAGTAAGGTTTAATTTCTTTTTCGTTTAACACCTTACACATTTCACTGGTATGGCAGATTGTACCAATATTTTACTGATGCGTCGCACTCGTAATACTATATCGTTATTCTGAAACACTCGTGATTTATGTATGTTATTCTATAGGAAACCATTAAATGTAATCTGTATATTTAGCACACATGTACAGTAAGAAAATGTACAACTCACCCACTTGAGAACGGAAATGTTCCATTTTTAACATTCGGGTCCAATTTAGGTTCTTCCACATCAGGAAATGTTGAGTCAATATTCATGAATATTGACTGCGTGGCACTGTTCCCCATAACATCAAAGGCCTTTACTGATATCTGTATTGTTTCGCCGTCCAAACGTGAAATGTTTAGGGTCGCCTTCTCGTCCAGAAAGCCAGCCACATTTGTCCAAGGTCGAAGCCCTCCATGACCTTTGAGATTATGAGTTAATTGTACTTTGGTTATTCCATTTTTGTTAGCTATTTTCCTAATCGTACGTTTTCCTTCGTGATCATCCAAGACTGATGACACGTTCTTATGTCGGAAGTGCATAATTGTCTGCGGTTTGAATGTTGCAACAGTATTCAGCAGATTGAATTTGTTATGATTTTTATTTTCGAAAACATCGTGCCAATTAATCACTACTTTTTTGTCTAGATTATCTATCCAGATACTGTTTGCAGGTCCTACAGCGCCCTCTACCGTTATAGGATTTGCTGTCATGGTGACGTTAGATTCGTTGTCAAACAGCAGCGTCCTTCGGCTGTACTTGGTGTTGTTAGCTTTATCTCCTACCTCCAACAGAACGGAATACATTCCAGGAGAAGGTGGTAGGTATGTCGGGTTCGAAGTTTTAGTCAAATTGGTCAAGTAGTAGATAGGGCTGGTGGGATTGACCTCGGTAAGGTCGCCTGTTCTGTCTGGTTTTAAAGGATAAACCTGAACATTGTAGATATGGACACCCGATAAAGTGTCGTTCCAACCGTCCCACGATATGGTTACAGGTCCCTATAAATTCAATTGTCGAAAGTTGAGGTTTTTGAAGTAAAACCAATTTTCATGATGTAATACTTACCATAACTTTAGTATGCATATACAATACCTACACCCATCTTTGTAGCCCAAAAACAAAAGATTCAAATATCCCTACCTCCCTACCGTGACGTAACCTCTATCTCGATGACAGAGCCACGGAGTGATCTCCCTTCCTCAAACCCCCTTTTATGGAGCCTAAAGGCAGCCAGGATGAGGAGGCAAGGGGAGGAATACAGGGTGGGACTCCATAAAGTTATGGTAAGTATTACATCATGAAAATTGGTTTTACTTCAAAAACCTCAATTTCATTTCAGTAATAATTACCATAACTTTAGTATGCGAATTCGTCTTACCGTAGTGGAGGCTTCGAATCCAGGCAGACCAGGCTGACGGAACAAACTCGAGACATGCTCAAGGTAGGGAAAAGGTTCAAGGAACCCCCCTAATAAAGCCCCGAAAGTAATTAAAAAATGGAAAACCTCCCCGTGAAACGAGCAGGTGTACCACCGTGGTGCCTGATAGCATACTATTTAAAATCACTGAATTACTGTGGAGGAACAGCCACAGACTGTGCAACCACCACCGGTCCAAGGGAATACAATCCATCAGAATGAGAGGCCAAGGACCGGAGATAAAAATCCGTGAAGGTAGTCTGTCCGCGCCAGAAAGCTGCGGACATGACCTCCTGAAAGGGGGACCCATTGAGGAGGGCCCATGACGCAGCAAGGGCCCTGATCTCATGCGCCCTCACCTTATACAACGCCCGAACCTGATCATCCGAGTGGTCGTAACCGTACTTGATGACCTGACAGATCCATCTAGACACTGACTGAGAAGAGATATCCTGTTGACCCTGCTTAATGGGCAAAAACAGACGAGATCGAGGACCTCGCCCCCCCCTGGTTTTATCGAGGTAAAACCTAAGCGCCCGACAGGGACAGAGCAACCTATCCCGTTCCTCAGCTCCAACGAAGGCAGTCAAAGACGGAATCTTAATCGGATCGGGCGAGAAGCCAGGAACCTGATTCTTAGCCATAAAGGCAGGATCAGTGAGAAGGGTAACGGCAGAGTAATTCCTGGACCATCGGAGGCAAGAGGGGTGAGAAGACAAGGCATGAATCTCACTCCTCCTTCGACCTGAGGCCAGGGCAACAAGGAATACCACCTTGTAAGTAACAAACTTCAAGGAGGCAGACGCTAAAGGCTCATAAGGTGCCCGCATCAGCGATTCGAGCACCAGTGGCAAATTCCACTGCGGAGCCAACTGCCGGACCCTAGGCCTGTCCAACCCAAACCCCCTAATCAAGGCAGAAAGAGAGGAGGACGAGCCTACCTCCGACCTACCATGAACAGAGAGAACACTAGCAATGGCCGTGCGATAACCAGCGATAGTGCCAGGGGCAAGATTGCGGTCCCTAAACAGCCAAAGAAGGAAGTCCGCAATCACCTGGACAGTAGCCTTGATCGGATCAACCTTCCTGCCGACACACCAATCACAGTAAATCTTCCATCGTGACTGGTAGACGGCAGATGAGGAAGCCCTAATTGATCGAGCGATGCGATCTGACACGTCCCTAGAAAAGCCCGCCTGAGCGAGGCCTCCTGAGATAGCTTCCACGCGTGAAGGTGGAGGATCTCCGGACGAGAGTGCATCGTCCTGGAACGAGGCTGGCGAAGGAGGTTCGCTCTGAGAGGAAGAGCCAGGGGCTCTTCCACCAGAAGCGACAAAAGCTCCGGAAACCAAGGCTGCCTCGGCCACAGGGGCGCTATCAGGAGGAGGGAACACTGATGCTCCCGAAACTTCTGCAGCACCCTGCCCACCATGTTGAAGGGTGGGAATGCATATGCATGCATTCCCTCCCAATCCAGAGACAGAGCGTCCACGGCCCAAGCCCTTGGATCTGGTACCGGAGAGACAAACGTTGGCAACTGATTGTTCAGTGAAGTGGCGAACAGGTCTATGTGAGGCCTGTCCCACACCTGACAAATTCCCACGAAAATCGAGGGATTCAGTTGCCACTCTGTCAAAACCGGCTGGCGGCGCCTGGAAAGAGTATCCGCCAGAACATTCAACCTGCCTGGTAGATGCTTGACACAAATTGTCAACTGCATTTCCTGACATAGAAGCAGAATGCGGATAGCGAGGGCACACAGGGTGTGAGACCTGGTTCCCCCCTGTCTCTCCAGATACGCGACAACCGTAGTGTTGTCCGTAGCCACACAAACCACCTTGGAATGCAGGATCTCCCGAAAAGACTGCAGAGCCAACAGAACAGCCCTCATCTCGAGCACATTGCTGTGCTCCGAGAGCTGTTCCCCAGACCACTCCCCCGACTGGCAACGCCCGTCGAGATAAGCTCCCCACCCTGTCATGGATGCATCCGTGTACAGGGTCATAGTGGGAACTGGCTTGGACAAAGGAACCCCTCGGAGAACATTGTCCTGATGAGTCCACCAGCGTGCGTACTCCTTGACCGACTGGTTCAGAGGAAGCAAGGCTTCCCAATCCCTTGAAGAAGGGACCCAGTTGGCAAGGAGAAACATCTGGAGAGGCCTGATGTGAAGTCTCCCTAAGGGGACCACATCGGCCAGGGCGTTGAGATATCCCAGAAAACTGAGAAACCAACGTACCTGGACTTGAGACCGGCCGATAAAGGTCAGAGCAAAAGCCCTGGCCTTCTCGAACTTCTCCATCGGTGGAAGGGCGATGCCCTGAACCGTATTGAAACGGTTCCCCAGAAAAACAAAATCCTGAGATGGGGAAACCTCCGACTTTTCTCTGGAAGGAATGAAGCCGACCTTGAGTAAGAGTTTCAGAACCAACCGGGTGACCTGTACCAGAGACTCTCTCACTAGGTGGAGCATGAGGGAGTCGTCGAAATAGATGTGAACATCTATTCCTCGAGAGTGCAGGAATCCCACGACCACCTGCAGCAGCTTGGTGAAAACCAAAGGTGCAGTCGTGAGCCCGAACGGCATGGCCCGGAACTGGAAGACCTTTCCGTTGCAAGTAAAACGGAGGTACTTCCGTGCCGACTTCTTGATGGGGATGTGGAAGTAGGCGTCCTTTAGATCTACTGAAGTCGCCCACATTCCCTCTCTCACGGAGGCGATAATACCCCGAGGAGTCTCCATCTTGAAGTGAGGAGAATCTACGTGCTTGTTGAAGGCACTTAGATCTATGATGGGACGCCACGCCCCGGACTTCTTCCGAACCAGAAACATTCTGGAGTAGAACCCGGGAGTGCATCCCGACATAGGAACCTCCTCGACCGCGCCCTTGGTAAGCATGGTCCTTACTTCCTCCTGGAGCGCCAGAACCTTTTTCGGATCCCCCGGTGGAGGAAAAAAGATTGGCTCCGACGCTAAGGGCGGATCCCGCACTAGCGGAATGCCTAACCCCTTCTTGATCACAGACAAGGCCCATGCGTCTTCCGTAATTTCCTTCCACTCTGGAAGGAAAGCAGAAAGAC